TTGTCATATTTGTTATTTGTTTGTTCCTATCTATAGTTACTTATTTTCTGTAAAAGGATTTATGAATAGAGATTAGTCCATAATATGTACAGGAGTACTTTGTGTCCCTGTGTATATAAGTGTGTGTATATGTAATCTGATATAAACCTGAATTAACTTATACCATAGAACCCATTTTCCCTCCTCACACTGACAGTATTAACTTCTGTTGTTATGTTTTAATTATTAATAGAGTAGTTGTATTTTTGAAGTTTCAGTGCTGTGTTTAAGAACTCGGAAAGTATCCTGGCAGGTTTGGCTCAGTGGGTAAGAATTGGCTTTCGGACTGAAGTGTCCCAGGTTCGGTTCTGGTCAAGGGCACATACTAGTATCTCCGTTGCAGGCTTGATTTCAAGGCAATCAATCGATGTGTCTTCCTCACATTAATGTTTCTCTCTCTCTCTCTCTCCCCTTTCCTTCCATTCTCTCAAAAAAATCAATGGAAAAATATCCTCCGGCGAGGACTAACAAAAACATTATTAAAAAAAAAAAAAAGAATTCTGAAAATACTTTTTAAAATAAAAAAAGTTTACCAAAGGTTATTAATTAGTTTGTGAAGATATTTTCTATGCACTTTATGTATCTATTTTACATACTCACCAGCTAGCTATACCTAGAGAAGATGAGATGGTCTGAAGAATAAAAACTTTCTGTTATGATTTTTCATATCTTAAGAGGCATTTATAGAGTTTTTGATCACTGTATCTTGTATTTGTCCTTCTGTTAATTTACAGATTCATTTGTTCATTTGTTCCCACTACAAGTTGTTAAGAACTTGTAAATGCACGGTGCTGTGCTAAGTGTTGAGAATATGAAGATGGATGAGACCCAGTCTGTAGCTCACTGAGCTTTGGGTTGGTGCTACACATTGTGGTGTGAGATTGCACGCCAGGCCCCCAACTGTGGAGTAACCCAGGGGTGAGCCAGGACCCCTGGGAAGCAAGGGGGGCAGGCAGGATGCTGAGGGGATTGAGGTGAGTCTTGGGGGTTGAGTCAAGGTTTGTCAGTGATGAGCTGGGGAAGACTGAGGATGCTGGATGCAGGCTGTGAACTAAGGTGGCAATATTTTGGTTTGGTGAGCGTAGAGGCCACAGTGTGGATTAGAGATGGAAAAGCAAGCCAGTCATGGTGCACCATGCACCAGATTGTGAACTTGATGTCCCTACGTCAGTAGCTTTCAAACATGTTGTCTGTGGCCCATAGTAAAAAACATACCTTTCTACACGATGACTTATTGCCAGGCCTTGGCCCTTGAATTTGCAGTGGCTGGGCAAGAGGACAAGTTGGGACACAGTATAGCTAATTATTCTAAAAGTTATAAATTAAGGCAATAAACTAACTGTTAGCAAAGAATATACCAACCTACCTTGGCAAACATATCTCATAACAAAAACAATAAAGTCTGTGTGTGAAACCAAATAACTGAGAATAGTGCACATTCAAAATTACTTTTGTTTTCCAGCAAAATGCTGTGATTAACCCTGGGAAATGGATAACAGCAACAAGGCCAAGGGGGAGGTGAGGAGGAGAAGGCTCCCTATGCCTTCTCTTCCAATGGTTATGGAATCTATAAGAGAAACACCTTCTTTCTTTTCTTCTTTACTGGGGGAGGAGCTCTTTCAGCGCTCCTTCCCTGTCCTCACCAGGCAGGCACCTGAATTTCAAGGCCTTCCAGACCATGCCCATCTTGTCCACAGGGGCACTCTGGTCCCTGGGTGCTGTCAGCGCTCCACTCTCACAGGAGGGTTGGAATTAAGAATTCTCTGAGCAGGAACACAGAA